TTATTATTGGTAAGAGACATGAAGGAGACAGAAAAATAAGTTTTTCTCTATACATTTGATAGCGTTAAATAGTTAGAATGCTGATTATGTGAAAATAGATTAGTATTATGACACTTCAAGGGTTCAAACATAAAAACAATATCAAATAGTAAATAAGGAAACAGAAGCCCATGAGTGAATCATGGATTCAATTATCATGCTAGTTGGTTTTTAAAAACATACCCGTGACTGAGGTAATCTTGAGGCGTTGATTGTGCCATTACTCCCTCCATTCGAGGCACCATAAGAAGCAACTGATGCGCCCAGCATTCTATCTAGATCCCAATCACCAAGGGCATCTTTTACCTCACGGCCGGGCCAACGGGGTCTCGCTGCAAGATGACGATTTGAAAGATTTTCTGGATCCTGGCGAAAATAAGGAAGAAAAGATCATACGATTTTACCATTACTAATTAATATTTAGAGTGTAATAACCATAGAAACACAATCTGCAGACGCAAGGCAAGGATGTATTGGAAAATGCTGTGCTAAAGTATTCTCACACCCGATAAATATGGTGTGAGAATACTTTAACTGTTTTTGCATATAATGGGATAAGTTCATTTTCCACTGAAAACACGAGTGTTACTTTGCTGAACGTGTAAGTAGAATGCATTTAAAAGTGAAATATTTTTCGATAAGCTAATCGGGTATTATGACAGATCGAAAAGACTGGCAAAGGAGCTGACATCCTGTTTTAACCCTTCACAACAGATTTGACAACAAACAGATTTTAGAATGCCAAAGACTCCTAGTAAATCTATTTATAACGACCAAACTTCTCATTCGGCTGGGCAACCAGCCTACAGTGCCGGCTGACGAGTGGCCTCAAAGTTATCCCTTTCGTCTTCAATTCAGCAATTCTCAAGCCATGAGTCTACAGCATTGCTTTTAAAAACTACATTAATGTAGCTTAGGAGAATTAAAAGATGAGATTAATCGTGATCGCCTTTCGCAGACCATAATATGCTATCTTAGGCAAACTCGACATAAAACTAAGATAATTAACCTCGACCATACAATCTTGGTCTTCATACCTTCGAATTAACTTGATTTTGATCGAAGATATGAAGACCAAGATGGTGTGGCCTTTTGTGCGGTCGCAGTCTCCTTTCGTTGTATAG